ACACACACACACACATACATACATACACACACCGAATGAAACTGATATGGCCCCAGACCCCAACCTTTAAAACAGTTTGCCTGCTTTACTGTTTTTGCTGATTGGGTTAAACTGAATTAGGTTTTCTCTGTAGGTTGGTCAGATGGAGAGAGGCTGCTGGTCAAGGAGGTGTCTGTCCCACCGCAGCTAACAGAAGGTAAACTGTTACTTTGTGGTTAGTGACCAAGTTATCATCTGACATGCAACGGTGTGGTAGGGATGGGGAAATAATAGATTATTTTTGTTTTTGATTACCATAATTTGATATTATCCAAGAGAAAAATGCTCGAAATCTCTACTTGCCCCTCGCAATATATTTGTGCTTCATCCTCTACATCAGGGGTCCCCAACCTTTTTTGCCCCACGGACCGGTTTAAGTCAGACAATATTTTCAGGGACCGGCATTTAAGGTGTGGCGGAATTAATACAACAAAATAATATGGTATGAGCTGCTTGAAAACTGTGGTGTTTTCGAAATATAATAATAAACACAAGGAGCGTCTAATCTGGTCGCAACACTCTTATCGCTCTGGTAATGTTTAATGCCTTCAAAATACGATACAACGCAAATTCAAAGTGCATGAAAATGACGACTCACCACAGCCCCGAGCTTGATTTTCTGCAATCAGACAGTCCCATCTCGGGGTAATAGGAGACAATGACACCTCAAGTGTGTGGTTTATGTCCAGTCTACTTCGTAATTTTGTTTTAGTCGCTGTTGCTGCATGAACTCCCCACCTCACACAGGTAGGATGTCGGAAATAGCAACAGTGCTATTGTGGCGATCTCAGAGTATTCAGCCATAACTTTGATCTAATTGTTTCGAACGTACTTTTAAGGCCGCCGTCATTTGCGATCTCCAAGCAGCTTTTTTACTCATTTTGCTGGCTTCAGCGTTTTGTTTATAAGCGTCATCGGTCACGTGACCGTGAAGTGTGGCTTGACGTGAGTCAAGCGTGACACAGACGCATGTAACAGAGAATACGGTAATTTTTCAAAATAAAACACATTTCGTATTCCGAAATAAATAAAACGGAAATAAGGCAAGTTCTTTCTGTGCGGCCCGGTACCAAATGCCCTGCGGACTGGTACCGGTCCGCGGACCGGCGGTTGGGGACCCCTGCTCTACATAACATTCAATGGGTGATTTAGGATTGAACAATTTTAAGTTATGTCTTGGCTGTATAGAAATCAGAAGGGAATATTCAAAATCAAGTTTGCTCAATAGTAGATTGATATGTATTACTTAATATGCAATGTGAACCCTGACAAAAAAATTGATTCCACCAAAAAACGCGAACTGCGCATTCAGACCTGCAGCGTCAACATAGCAGTTAATATATCCAGTACATATACCTGACTTTGTTGAACTAAATGTGCTTATCTCTGTGTTTACTTTTCACAGGTAAATTGGATGGCGAGATGGAGCTGGTCAAGAAGATCTCTGAAGGTAAGCGGTTATCTAGTGGCTTGTGAATGCCTTATCTTCTGGTGTATAAAAAATACAAAACTGTTACAGAACAGACCAGTGATGACTACAGACAATACTAACATGTGTCTTAACTTTCAGAGGAATATTTATTTACTGTCCCATTTTGTATAGGGAAGCCAGAAGTAAAAAAGTGCAAGTGGACAGAAGAAGAAATCCAGGCTGTGGAGAAAACCCTGATGGGACTGCATCAGCTCTTTCAAGGTCCCAGGGAAAGCTGAGTGCATGAACTGCATTGAGACATCACCAAGAGTACTGAAACTGAGAACTTGGAAGGCAGTGAAATATTATGTAAAAAACCGCATTGATACCTTAAAGAGAGTGTCTGCAAAACAACGGTAAGGTTAGGTGATTCAAAATTCGATTTTCAAAATTCACCTGGCAGTGGGAATAATCCGATGTTCTTACATTTGTATACTGTGCACTTGTTTCTGGCATGTTTCAAAACAAAGAAAGACAGAGAAAAGCACTTCTATTGGAAAGCAATCAGGGTTTTTTTGTCTTGAATATTCACGGACTTAACTTCTGGACATACTTAGGGTGTCCAGCACTTTTATTTGAACCCAGGGAGGGTTTTTGACCTGAAAACATTTGCTGTGCAATTGCTCATTTCAATGCACTTCTGTTGTACTCTTGCCACACTGTTGGATGCACAAATTTTAAGCTTGCCAAATGTGAATTATTAAAAAAACCACAGGCTGTCATTGAAACTGGTATGAGAGCAGTATTCATTTTCTTAATGGTATGCAGAAGAAAATTTAAACATCGTCATTTTTAGTCTGATGTGCACAGATTATTAGTCACTATGTTATTAAGAGATAATAGATATTCTACACAGATTAAATATAAAAATCTAAAAACTTTGTAAAGAGGACATCTCCATGTTTTTGAACTCACCACATTTATGAAAGAAAAACTTGCTGGCAGCACCAGTGGCATGTATTTCTGAGATAACAATAGCGATATCGGTAGCACATGGAAAAGTCAAATAATTGGATGCGGTCGAAAACTGTTGGTTGTGACAGAACCTGGCAAAACTACACTTACCTGATTACTCGGCCAGATATCTTGTCAGAAAACGGGAATGCTGGGAAGGGGCGTAGACCCAATTGTGCATATGAACACAATATTTCACCATTTTATATGTGCAAAATATAGGGTTGTCAAAAAATATAAGCAGATGGCTCCTACAAAACACAACTGCTGACCTTACACAGGCTCTAAATACTGTTGTCTGTAGAAAAAAAGTGCCCCCTGCTGGTGGTTTTGGTCTGACATGATTCGTGAAGTCCCCACGAGGTGACCAAAAACCTGGAAAAAACTAAAATAAGATATATGCGATTTGAAGGGGATTTCTGAGTGAGCACGGGCTCAAAAAAAATTTGTGTCCGAAAATCAAATTTTTATGAGATCCATAAATGTGTTTTTTTCATGTTTGAAATTTGGTCCCCGTGGGGCAAATCCTTCACACACCAAGTCCCCACCATGTAGCAAAAACGCGTATGCGTGTGTGTGTGTGTGTGTGTGTGCGTACTTGACTGCAGACCTTCCAAAGAGTTGTTTTGTGTCTCTCTATTCTAGTTTTAGTTAAGGAAATTTGATGAATCCGTGTCTTATCCCACCTCTGTTATTGCACTAATATTACATCTGGAGTCAAAAAATTGGCAGGTTGTCTCTATCTCAAAGAAGGTTTTCAAGAGAAGGTCGGTTTCAATCAAAATGACATTTCATGCCTTGGTTAGGTTAAGAAAGCCAGGGGTAGGGTTTCCAGTAAAATTAGCATTAGGGTTTTAAGTTTGCATTTCAAGACTGGATTAGGGTTCCAGACTAGGAGCAAAGTAAGGTCTCAAGGTTAAATATGTAAACTAGGGTTTTAGGATGAGTATGGTTAGGATTTGTTAGAAGGGTTGCAAGACAGGTTTAGAGTTTTAAATTGGGGTATCCAATTCGAGTGACAAACCTGGGTCAAGGTTCCAAAGAGGTATTAAGAGATTCAACCACAGGTCAGGGTTTCAAATTCGGTTTTCAACCACAGGTTAGGGTTTCAAATTAGTGTTTCAAAACATGAGCAGGATTTCAAGTTTTCAAACAAAAGTTAGGTTTTTTAACCCTTTCATTCACCCTGTAACCTGATAACATGATGAGCTATCCACTGTTGTAACCGAAGTCCCTGGAAAGGGCTAAATTAGGGTTTCAAAACTTATTTCAAGAGTTAAGTAGAGCTTCAACCTTGGGATACGCTTCCTAGTTTGTGTTTCAATTTAGTAAAGGTTGGGCTTTTAAAATAGGATTTGAAGCTAGTGATAGAGCTTTAAGGCAGAATTAGGCTTTCAAGTAAGGCTTTCCAATTGGGGTTTCAAGCCTGGGGTAAGGTTTCAAATCCATCTTTTCAAACACGTTTTCACAAGGACATGGGCTAATTTGATTTTTTTTTCTTCGATTTGAACACGCGAAGAAGAAACAAAATGAGGAGAAGAAGCAACATATCCTTTCTGAAGAAGGAAGCCATTATACTACGCATTTGAATATTCATAAGCGGCAAGTCACGGGAGCCTTCGGGTATTGATGCAGAGCTGCGGAATCAAGCCGGCAAAGCGCTATTGACTCAAGCTGTGCATGCTGGAATCTGAAAGACGCTCGCTGAGGGCGGCCGAGACCTTATCAATGAACTCGCACAACACCGACGCAGGGGCCACGGGAAAAAGCGGATTAGAAACCCGGGCCGGAGAATTCGAAAGCAGCCAAAGAGACATCGGGAGGGAAGGAGGCGAAGGGTCAGGGCCAGCCCGCAGCGAATGCATGGCCTCAATTGGACGCCCCTGGACGACAGGGCGCTCTTGACAAAATGTCACACTTTGCATTGCATTACAGCAAAAGAGGAAGACGAAGAGGTGCTGATGAAGAAAGATGACAAAGAGGAGGAGGGACCAAATGCCTGCCTGCATGAATGCAGGCAGGCATGCATTCAAAAAAACAAAGCGTGGATTACAAACATGGGAGATTCATTCATTGTCACTTGTTAATTTCAATATTGTTATTATTTTATTTTTTAAAATGACTTCATGATAATAACAGTAAGTAAGCAATCATTTCATGATATAAGTGAAAGGATCAATAAAGGGGAATAAATACACTTCAATTAACCAACTAATGTGTTTAATAAAACAGAATCTCAAAAAAAATATATCAGTGAAATAGTTATGCTCATTAAAAAGAGTGCTCCAATACATTGTATTAAATGTAATGGATTTTATTATACATAATACATAAATTGAATAATTACCTAATGTAATAAAATCAAAATCTGAACTAAACATTTATCACATTAAATTTTTGACTTTTTAAAAATATACTCTACATGTAAAATTGATATTTATTTGCAACACATTAACTCACCAATTCTTCAATAGAATATGTCAACACCAAATACATTCCAAAAATATCTATATTTTAGAAATTTAAATAAAAAATTGTTTTTTTATTCACCTTGCAATTATTCTTTACAATAAGTTCAACCAAATATTTCACGAGTTAAATATATACTGTACATAATCAATGCAAATCTTTTAAAAATGTTAAATGTTTATTGTTAGTATTTTTTTTTTAAATTTTATTGTACTCGCTTCTTTACATTTTACAATAGATAACATGACCAATAAAACTCTTGATCATGTAAATGCTTGGTGGGCCGGATTATGTAATGCCCCGCCCTCTGCCCTGCAAATGGGAGGGGGACGGCGGGGGTCAGGAAATGACAGGAAACAGAAAAGGGGAGGGTGAAGGGTGGGCGTCATCGCATTCGATTTGTCGCCGCGTCAACTGTCAAGCGTGACCTTTTTGGAGCCACTTTGTGTTCGACAAGGGAGCGCTTAACATTCCCACCGCCTCCGTGTTTGTTTGCGCGATCCAAATTAAACCTCCCCCTCAGACATACAGCCCACCCCCACGACCCCCCCCCAGCCCACCTCAACAAACATCCCTCCTGACATCAGACCGTTTTCCAAAGGCCTCGTTCACACAGCAAGCCACAAGTCCCAACGCGTGAAAAACTATTAGCCTATTCATTACTGAAGTGCCTCCTTTCCGAACATTTTCTGTTTTCCCGCAGTCACAAACGCATCACCGTGGCTCGCTAGCTATCTTTTATTCATTTCCATTATTTTCATCTTTTCAACTAATAACAATGTCGAACAAGTCGAACACAAAATGCTTCATCTTAACATCTTAACGTGGTTACTACTTTGGTGGGATTTTGTTTTGATCAAAAGAACATCAAAATCGCTGAAAAAAAAATCTATTTTCAACAAACCCCATTGAGTGACACCTCAATTTAAAGGCCTTGGGATGAGCTTCACAGATTTGTTATTTTTTTGTGACTACGACCTCATATGCTGACACAGCTGTCCCAAAACATGTTTCATTTTTTGCTTGAAAACGTCAAAGTTGACTCGTAGTCCAAAAGTCCAAAAATGTATTTTCAACAAACCACTCAGGATTGTAAATCAATTTATAGACCGCAAAGGCGGATATTTTGATCTATAATTATTTTGTGAGTATAACCCTCCTATGATGAGGTTACTGGACCCCAAACTCTCACGTTGATGTTGACATTAACAGCGGTTACGACAGTAGACATTTTATCATTATCAGGTTACAGGCTGCATGAAAGGGATAAAAGCCTTGGTGAGGTTTTTCCATAAATATAAATATTTTCTCAAAATGACCTGATGTGACGATGTACTGACATGTTTTCTTTTTTTTTTTTTGCTTGGAAATGTCAACATTGACAAGTAAAAAGGGTAGACAGGTGCAAATGCATGATCAACAACCCATAATGAGTCATATGTCAAATTAAAGGCCTTGCTGGAAATTTTCCAAAATATGCAATTATTCTGTTGGTATGACCCTATATGATGTCACAATGGCCCCAAAACTCATTTTCTTTGCTTGGAAATGTCAACATGGTC